CTATAGAAAAACCTATCATAGCTTGCAACATTCAATAGATCTCATTTCTGCATAGTGTGATCCCAGTTGTTTACTTTCAGATTCTAATTGGTTTTCATCATAAAGTTGATCACTGTAATTTTAATCTAATCACTGTAATTTTATTCCTGGGCTACTTATAATAACTCATGGGAACTCAGTTTTAACAATTTGTTGCCTGAGGAAAAATACTATCCCGGTTCTCCTTTCCCTTCCCTTTTCCAAAGATCTTTTGGATCTTCAGAAGGTGATCTGGAAGACAACTTAGCAGCTTGAGGATCTTTTCTGATCTTAAAGTGGTGAAGCTGGAATCCATTTTAGGGAGAAAATTTAATGTTTTGTGAATATAGAGTGCTGAGAAGCTATTACAGGTGTTGACTCGAGAGCGATATATTTGGCAATCATACGTTTGGAGTAGGGCAGTTGAACCAGTCCCATGCAGTAACTCTGAAGTGACTCTTTTAGATTCAATGACTCATTAGATTCAAGTAAGTATAGGTAATTATGAAACTGACCTTGGGAGTTTTGTACCAAATTAGTTGCAGGCCAAGATACAATATGTCTGGTTTGGCATCATGCAAGGTTCTTTTGGACTTGGGAGCAGAGCACAGAATAGTTGTAACCTGGATCTCATGAATGTATCCTATAGCTCAGGTGTGGGCAAACTTCAGCCCTCAAGGTGTTTTGGACTTTAACTCACACATTTCCTAACAGCCTAATGGCTGTTAGGAATTGTAGGAGTTGAAGTTCAAAACAGCTGGAGGGACAAAGTTTGCCCATGCCTGCTATAGCTCGCTTGTTAGATGGGTCTAGATTACTGGATCTAGAGAGACATGCACCACTATGACTACTTCTACCAGTACCACCTCCTCCTCCAATAATTTGTTTTAGTCAGTGAGGAAGCTTTCAAATATGAATTGAGTTTTCCTAACCTTTGAATAGTCTTTGCACATACTTTGAAACCATGATAACATTTTCTAGTGCCTTGTGCCAAATCTCTACCTTTTTGTTGTTGTTTGGCTATTACTCTCTTGTAATGGTTTGACTTTGCTTGAATATATTCCTTGTGTCTTGAGAACTGAACAACCATCATAGCATTTACTAAGATCTTCTGCAAAATTTTCATCTCTCACATAATACCAGCCATACTAAAAAAAAGAAAAAAGGAGTAGGCTGTTCTATTCCAGTTGTTTGTTATAGGAACTTCGGAATTATGACCAAATTTGCTCTCTGTCCCCAGTCTACCTGTCCAATTCCTCTTTCTTTCGATGTCTGGCCATATTAAGATTTGATAGCAAAGACTTCTTGTTACTATTCTGCCAAAGACTTCTAAGAATTTGGCTGTTTGCTGAAGGACACAGAAGAAGTTTTCATGCTCATTTAACAAAAGTATTAAGATCTGTAGCTTTAAAATAACAGCAAGTAAGAGCTTCAGTTTGCTAGTGAAATATGCTAAAGGCCTGGTTTGGAGCAAACTGTCTGTGTTCTGAAAGCTGTCATCAAAACAAAGCTGCTTTTAAAAACCCAGTGTAGAAATCAATCTGGCACATAATATACTTCGCTGGATAACTGATTCCAGGTAAGTGTTATGATGTGTTTTATCATTGCATTTTTCTTCTGGCTAGGAGCACAAAGATACCAGTCAAATGGTTGTTTTTTTTTTGGCACCTTAGAACATCTATTGTTGTTTTTAAAGGCTCTTCAATCCAATTATTTTCAATTGGACTAAAGGCAAATCAGTGTTTCTGTTTTCCATCTCTCTCTTCCTACTGAGGCTGCCTATTTTCACATTGACTAAGCTGAATGTTTGGGCAATATCATCCTCTTACTGGAGAGACATATAGGCTCATGTTTTATGTCAATTAAATCCCACAATACTCTATGCGCTTATTTCGCTGTAAGTATGTTTAGAATTTCAGGTTCAAGTGTTGTGGGCCTTCCTTTCAGAGCTTAGCAGTTTCAAGCAAGAGGCATTATCTGCAGGAGCCAGGAAAGTCCTCATTACAGTTATAAATATGCCAGCAGAACTTGACTTGGGGGTGTTATTAAAGGAGCTGGCAAGCACCCATGAATCCTATCTTCTGACATAAGTAAGGCGTCTTATTTTCCCTCCTTGGAAAGACCTTTTTCTCCCTTGGAGAACATCCTTATGTGGGTCCTCTTTCCCTTGGTTTCAGTTACAGTCCGTAATAGATGTATCAGGCTCTGGCTTGATGAACAGACATTAACTGAAAAATGCATATCTAAACATCATTATTGTCCTTCCCATAAACAGTGCTACAATAACTGGGATGCCCTTCAGCTTTGGAGCAGAGGTTAAATGTGTTGCAGACCCTCCATGTACACTTCAGGATACAACTAAAAGGCTCAGTTGGAATCAATATTATGGTTCCAATTACCCAAGCCGCCAGTGAAAAAAAATGTTTTTACATAATTCGTCTGTTTTTAATGTATTTTTTAATGTTGAATCCAAAGAAAACAATAAAAATACTGTCCAAATTTCTTGTCACAAATTTCATAATTTTAATTAGTCACATCGTGTTACATGGAAATGTTAAAGCAAGTTTAGTAAAACCCATAAGTGATGGAACAAATCTGATGTCATTTTTGGATTTGGAATGTCAAATTCTTGTAAAACCAGCATACATTTTAAATTTTGTTATATGTATCTCTCCCACTCCTTCCCAATACTATGTCCACTTCTATAACCTGTTCATTAAATGCAATTAAACGTGTGTCTAATTTGAACTTGAGAAGAAAGAAGGAGCTGACATGGATTTGGTAGCTTTGCATAGGCTGCCAAATATTAAGTTTCTTTCTGGTTCATGTGAGATGCTGTATGTTTCACTGTTGCTCTCTTGGGTCCTGCCTGGTGAATAGTTTCTTGTCTTGGAAGTTATTCTTATTAGATACTCATTTAAGCTAGGCTTCCACAGCCTGTTCAAGGAATCACTATGCTGAAAGGGAATAACGGGAACAGCTGCCGAACACTTCTGGAGGGCACCAGATTTATGAAGACTGATTCAAGGTCTTGAAAGAATTTACAAATAAGACATTGTAAATAGAGAATTTGTCTTAATGTTAGGATAGTTTAAAAAAATTATCTTTCTAGGGCATATCTATTTCCACTGGATAGTGAATACACCAGATAGGTAACGCGGAAATCACGCTGATTCACAAAAGTGATACATCTATGGAAGACCATCTGTTGGGGTGCTTTGATCGTGTTTTCCTTGTTGCCCGGGAGTTAGACTGGTTGGCCCTTGTGGTCTCTTCCAACTCTATGATTATGTAACTCTACCTCCAAACTTAGAGATTACGTTCTTATTCTGTGGCTAGTGCATTAATGGAAGGTATTGCCAGATTTTTAAAGGTAGTAGTATTCGGATTTTGTGATCTGAGATGATTTCCACTTAACTTCTTTACCTCTGAGTCTAGTAATGGCATTCACAAGCAAAATAGTTTTAGACTATTTTTTCCAGCTGCCATGATTATAATGGTATTGCATAGATCCTTTCTGCTGTTATCTCCACCTAGCTTTAACTGGTAATTTGGCCTTCAACTCCCATAAATCCTAAGAGCTGGTAAATTGGCTAGGATTACTGGGAATGGCTTAATCCCCAGTAATCTCCCAAACTTTGGATCTCCAGCTTTATTGGACTTCGAGAAGTCCCAGGCAGTTTGGTCAGCAATCAGGAATTCTGGGAGATGGAGTCCAAAACATCTGGAAGACCAAAATTTGAGAAATACTTCTCTAGTACAACTGTGGTTTGTGCTACAAAACTGTTTTGGGGAGGGTGTTATACAAAGAGAGACATGGTAATTTGTTGCTAGTTGTTAGGTAGTGAGAAAAGAGAAAAAAGACCCAATGTGTCAGTAGAAAATTGGGATATGGGGCTTTTCACCCATTTTAATTCCAATGCTAATTTTTGCAGAAAGACTGAAAATGGATTGTGAGAAATTCTTATGTAGAACAAAGAATAAAATATTTAAGAAAAGGTGTTCTTTACTTATCAATCCTGATATTAGAACAAATACTTTGCAAGTGTGAAATAAGATTTTGGTAATAAGAATAATATATAAACAACACACATTTTAAAATAATCTCTGGTGGTGATTCATAACATAATTTTAATGGCGAATGTTGAATATAAAAACGCTTGTTCAATCGCTTGAATTGTCGTCCTCTGCAAATGTGCATTGGTTTTAGGTATATATGGAGTATGGGAAACATGCAGCAAGAATGTCTGTTCTTTATACCACTGTGCAGCACCTGCCAATAATTAAGAAAAATTGCTCTTGTTGGCTTCTGTCCATTACTATGAAAGAGAAAATCATTCTGAAGCACAGTTGTGGATAACGGAATGTATTTAAGGTCAATGCTTAACAACACCTTTCTGTAGATATCACCCTTTTATTAATATTCCTATAGTTATTGTATTTATCTGTTTCAGAAGCACTTTTTCTTTTCGAGAGAGTGGTCCAGTAGGTCCAAGGGCTAATTTTTTGCTCTTGGATTACTTGTAGTTGCCACTTTTTTGTTTATGCTCACATTTCTGGAAGAGAAAGGATTAAAGGGAAAGGATAGTCTGAGAATGTCCTTGGTATAGGACTCTGAAACAAACATGTGACTAAGGGTATAACATAGTCCTCTACATACTTACTCAGAAGTAATTTCCACCCATAATCTCTTTCCCCCCAGTTTAGCACAGTTTCGAAGATTCTGTGATCTATGTTATGGCATCTTCATTGTATCTAGCTATTGTATCTAGTAATATATTTTTTGAGAATCTCACACTGTCCCACACACTAATATGATAGGAGGCCTCCAATAAACAATCTTCTTAGTAGGTAGCATGCTGTTTCTGATCTTTTGAGAATTCCCATGATAAACTGTTGAAAAATCTCATTTTTTTTGTAATTAATTCCAAAACATCTACTGCCTTCTAAGTAGATCCTGAGTTATCATCTTGGTTTTCCAGCACTGGGATGTCTTCAAGTACGTGACAGAAGTCTTCATCTTGGTTCCAGCACTTCTGGGGTTGAAGGGCAACTTGGAGATGACACTAGCCTCTCGACTTTCTACAGCTGTGAGTACTTTGGTCTTTGTACTGCAACAAGTGTTTGCTGGTTGAAGTATATCGTTCTTAATGCTTGGCTTTTCTCCCCTTCTACATATATAGATTTAAAGTGGCGTTTTTGTTTGTTTGTTTGTTTGTTTTTGTAAATCATCACCCAGTAAAGTACCCATCAGACATTTGGGGCTGTAGTTCTCATCTGCTTAAATATTATTGTCTCTGGGCAGAGTAGTGAGAATTCTACTCCAAAGGATTGGGATGGTATCAACTTGTGGAAAGTTAGTACATGTCTGAAAATGACCTCATTTTGAAAAATGAATCCTGTTTGTGTAACATTTTCAGGCAAACAGACCTAGAAACACATTTAATCATTTCAAATAAAGTCATTTCTGACTTCAAGAGCTGAATGCTCTTGAAAACAGACATAGTCACTTTCTATGAATTTAAACTATATTGGGAATGCCTCCATATATAACGGCTGTTCTTACTTTGATTAGCAAAGAATCTCTTCCTTTGATGCTGCTGTTCACATTTATTCTCTTTTAAAATATCTCATTACACAGGGCAGTTGCCAAATGGCAATTTGGACTTCAAACTCAATTGTGAGCACAATAGCCAAAGCCAACTTTTGACTGCCAAAAACAAAAATCAGAGAGCATTTTATTAAAAATGTTTTCAGCAGAATGACCTGGCACTGTTCCCGACCCACAACATTGTTTTCTGTCTTGCTATAAGACATGGCGAAGCATGTCTGAATTTGGTGAAAGGACATACAGGCTTCTTACATGTACAAATAGGTAAATGAAAGTCTAAACATAGCCATTGACCTCGGTTCTAGTCAAATCTTCCCTCCAGGTGGGAAGGCAATGGATAAAATAAGATAATTTTACTGAACAAATAAAAGTATGCTATGTCTTGGAACCAATTTTTCCCTTGGAAAATAGCATTTGTGGAATTGTGCTTTCTTTCCTTTCTTCTTCATCCTCTGCAAATACATTCATGGGGCTTAGGAGGTAATTTTGAATGTGGTGGGACATAGTGGTGCAGATAAAGCTGGTTGAAATATATTGTTCTGGTCAAGTAGAAATGGGTCCCATAACTAACAGCCATGATGCCATTGATCTGTGAGGTATATTCTTCTGACACCTCTGAAAAACCTGACACCTCTGAAAAACTGAGAGAGTATACCACTGCAGTATCCCACATATGAGGCTCTTGCAAGCAGCATCCACTCTTTCTTAGATGCACTCTCTTCTTTCCTGAACAAACGTCTTGAATGTAGTGTTGCCAGCTAGCACCTGTCAGTACCCCTCAATCTGACAGATGATGAAACCCGCCCAAGCCTTCTTGGTGCAGTTATATTTTTAACAAGGAGCAGTACAGAAACCAATTCCTTGAGTATCTCCTCTCCTTCACTGTTTCCCCTTCATGACCTTCACTTGTATAGGCGACTTTTAGGGCTACAAGTCTCTGTGGCATGACTACTTTAATCTTGTAATTCTTCAGTAGAGAATAGCTTACTTATATCCCACCTCTTCTTCCATCACCTCTATGTAGCATAGCTAGTCCCATTCACCTTTGTTTTCTCTTTACCCAAGAGAAAGGCAGGGCAAGAGAGAGGATGACCCGAATTCATCTGTTTGAGTTTCACAGGCCAGGGGATCTGAACCTAGGTAGCCCAAATACCTGCCTCACATTTTAATTTCTGCTTCATGTTGTTTCTCAGTGTTTTCCTTTCAATGAATTGCTTACCTTCTTTGTAGATGGGAGAATGGATCCCCGCTTGATGTCTTGGAATGCCTTACTTGTCGTGACACTTGTCTATATATGTGAAGGCATCAAGTAGGTTTGGGGTTGTTCTGTGCATGGTGACATCACCACCCCCAGAATACATGTTGAGCAGTGATCATTACCTCAAAAGTGATGGATTCACCTTTCTTTGATACTATGTAATTCCTTTTAATGGTGCTCCTAACATTGAATCATATTAATGCTTATTTCTTGATTCCCCCGCCTTCAAGGAAGTGTCTGAATTGGTCTCAGTGAAGTGGTTCCTCCATAAATGAGAGCTTTGGTTTGTGTTTTCCACCTCTTACATAAATGCTTGAGCCACAGAGCTCTTCATCTGTTTCTCCTCCAGTTGTCCCATGACCTTGACTTGAGTAGTCCTCCACTGAGCTGTGCTTCCATGGGTCTCGTGTCACAGCAATACAGCTTAAGCCCCTGTGGCATTCCAGCAGAGCTTAATGGCTCTGGCAGGAAGAGAGGATTGGCAAAGAAATTGGACACCCCCTTGCTGGGAGAAAACTTTCTGAGTCTTTCCCACCCTCCTCCTGTCACTCTGGCAAGCTCTTCTATGTAGAGAGCTATTTTGCTTAAAACATCATGTTCTCCAGATGGACATCTTCATGATATGTTAGTATTCTTATTAACCCAGATATTTCATCTTGCTGACTTTGACAATAGGTGTTCTAATCTAACACTAACAGTGGATGCTGATTTGAGGAAGGTTGGCTTAAAGCATCTTGGAGGCAGGATCCTAAGTACAGGATCTCCTGTTAGAGCAGTGGTTCTCAACTTGCAGGTCCCCAGGTGTTTTGGCCTACAACTCTCAGAAATCCCAGCTGCTTTACCAGCTGTTAGGATTTCTGGGGATTGAAGGCCAAAACATCTGGGGGACCCACAGGTTGAGAACCACTGAATTAGAGGATCCAAGCAGGCAGTTGTCCAGTCCCTTTTTGAAGACCCAGAGAAGGAGATATCACCACCTTCCTAGATGATTGGTTAATTTGCTACAACATCCTCACTGTCAAGAGGTTCCTTCTAATCTTCTATTGAAATCTACCCTTCTGTAACTTTAAACCATTGGACTTTGTTCTACTGTCTGAGACCTCCAGAAACAAATATCTTCTCTGTGACTGCCTATGAGATACATTAAAAGTGTGGTTATTTCACCCCTCAGTCTTCTCTTCACCAAGCTAAACATGTTTAGTTCATTCAAGTTCCTCATGTTTTGCATTCCATATGTCTTACCGTCCTCTGAACCAACTTCAGTCAATCTACATACTTTTTAAAATAAGGAACTCAGTACTCCAGATGTATCTTGACCAGAATAAAGTGGGACTATTATGTACTTTAACTTGAAAACTACGCTTACATTAATAAAGTCTCAAGTGGCATCTTTATTGTAACATCACACTACTTGCTCATGTTCAGCTTATGATCAACAATAATACCAAGGTCCTTTGTATATGCAGTACTTTTGAGCCAAGTCGCCACTATCTTATATCTATGCATTAGGTGTTTGTGGCCTTAAGTGTCGAATGTTCCATTGATTTCTGTGAAATTTCATTTTATTATTTTTTGCCCAATTTTCTAGTTTATCAGGATCCTTTTGAATTCTGTTCATATTTTCCAATGTGTTAGCTGTATAACACAGTGTAACATGATTGTTGTTCCTGGGTTTATAAATGTCATTTCCTAATTGGTTCTATCATAAAAACAAGGGGAAAGTTTCTTAAACTTCAAAAACATTTTTGCAAGACAACCTGCAGCACATTCTGCTATAATTTTTCAATCAATATCTCATAGGGTCTCAACCAATTCAGCATAGTTTGTGGCAGCTAGAAAAATGAAGTTTCTAGAGTATAACAACTACTTTGAAAGTAAATGCTGTACAATTAAACAGGAAATAACATTTTCAAACCAGGAACAGAATTTTCAAACCAGGAACAGATTTTTTTTCATTTTTTTTACATAGTATAATGTCACCATTTACAAATTTGATTAGGATTCCTTCCATCCCATCAGTTTAAGGTAAAGGTAAAGGTAGTCCCCTGACATTAAGTCCAGTCATGTCTGACTCTGGGGTGTGGTGCTCATCTCCATTTCTAAGCTGAAGAGCCAGCATTGTCCATAGACACCTCCAAGGTCATGTGGCCGGCATGACTGCATGGAGCGCCGTTACCTTCCTGCCGGAGTGGTACCTATTGATCTACTCACATTTGCATGTTTTCGAACTGCTAGGTTGGCAGAAGCTAGGGCTGACAGCGGAAGCTCACGCCGCTCCCCGGAATCGAACCTGCGACCTTTCGATCAACAAGCTCAGCAGCTCAGTGCTTTAAACCACTGCGCCACCAGGGGCTCCCCCATTGATAAAATGATTGAATCATTGTGCTGATGATCAGGAAATGCTTTCACAAGAAGGTGGTTCATTTAAAATTCTGGTGCTTCTGACTAACAGAGGGAGATGGCTTTTCGAAGGATAGGTGCCATCATGGTGAAGTCCCATTTTATAATTGCAAGGCCTTCTCCAAAGCTTTTAGTGATCTCACAATTCAAGGGAAGACCGTGTTTCTATTTTGCTAATTAGAATTATTAATTGCTTTGAGTATTAATATGAAGACTTTGAATATTTCCCAAACTCAGGACTAGTTTGCAGATTCATTTTTTTAAAAAACTGAGAAGACTAAACTACGAGAACATAAATGGTTTATCATGCAATGAAGGAACACATGGAAGACAAGCCTATTGATCTCTGAGTGGGAGGAAATGAAAAGCATTATGTCAACTGAAGAGTTGGGGTCATTCATGGTTTGGGTTCTGGCAGTTTCCACAAAGGGGAGAGAGTTCCATGTAGGAAGACATGTCCAAATTAGATCTAGTTAGTTACTATGACAAGTTATTCCCCTTAATTTGGGCATTATACAGATTCTAAAAACTATTAGAACTACAGTATTCTAAAAAGACCACAACCCATCTGATCCTGGAATATTATTTATTTATTTATTTATTTATTTATAGGCTTGTATACCGCTAATATCTCAGCCGAAGTCGGCGACTCATTGCGGTTTACAACAATTAAAAACAATACCATATTAAAAACAATAGCCTCTCCCAAAACATTCTCTGACATGGACCTATGTCCTGGCTTCAGAGTCATCTATTTTTGGATCATGCGTTGTCACATCTGAAAGGGTTTTGAAACCAAGTACACAGAGCCAACATGAATGCTGTCAAGATCATAGAGCTCCAGCACGCCCAGAGCCCTGGATGGTGCTTGCATTGGAGACTAGCAATGAATGCTTGGTGCTGCAGGCTATATTTCAGAGGAACTAGCAAAGCCACTGCTGCATATTCCTTGCTGCAGAAAACTATGTAAAATTCATGGAGTCACCATATGTTGGCAAGTGACTTGAAAGTACATATATACACAGCAGGAAACATTTTGTGCACTATGAAAATAAAATGTGCCATTGGCAATAGATTTTGTACAGTTGGAAATGTGGGCTTTATTCAGGAACAAGGGATTTCTTAAAATAAATAGATGATGAAAATGTAAAAAAAAATTAGAACATTAAAATGACTACAAATCATTTTCAGTGTCTATGACCTTATATTGATAGTATAGTATTAGAAACTGTTTCATCCATGCCCAAGAAGGATGCATGCATGAAGATAAGTATGTAGACAGTCCCCGAGTTACGAACAAGATATGTTCTGTAGGTTTGTTGTTATGTGTGTGTATCTATGTATGTATGTATATATGTGTGTATATATATGTGTGTGTGTGTCCACAACCTTATATTAATAATATGGTATTAGGAACTGTTTCATCCATTCCCAAGGAGGATGCATGCATGAAGTATGCAGACAGTCCCCAAGTTATGAACAAGATAGATTCTATAGGTTTGTTGTTAGGTGTGTGTGTGTGTGTATCTATATCTATGTATATGTATGTGTGTGTGTGTGTGTATAGACATACATACATCCATATACATACATGCATGCATTCTTGGGACAGCATAGGGAAGAGTGAACACTCCTGTAGAATTTGTTTTGGTGTCTCTGCCCACGTTCAGAAGATTTGACCTCACTTTCTGTCCTTGTGATAATTGAATTTTGAAACATTTGGCTTGTTGTAGAAACAAGGATTGGTGAGAAAGCTTCAGCGGATTTTAGCCCCCTTTGATGGCAAAATTATGCAGGAGAATTTGAAAACTGAACTTTTTCCAATGATAACTCTTTCAGGAGTGACTTTCCCTTCCTAGAGATAGATTTCTCTCATTTCCTGTTGTCTGAACCCCGTTCTTAACTATGAGTCATTTGTAAATCACATGTTTGTAACTCAGAGACTGCCTGGTTGCTTTGGCTCCAACTACACTGCTGTAGGCATTTTCAGCTGCATGCAGAGTTCTTTTTTTCATCCTGGCTGCTAGCTTCCTAGTCATCTAGATAGTACTGATTATCCTAACCAGATTTTGCTTTGACTTTCACCATTACATAAATTCTGTCCATTCTGACATGATCCACACAGTCATCATACTTCAGGGACAGTGACAAGCACATTCAGTCAGTATCTCAGCAAGATGTTGTCTGTCACTTCCTATTATGCTCTGCGTGGCCATGAAAAATTACACAGTGCCAGGCAGATTACAAAAAAGTATTTTTTGACACCAACCTCCTGTCTTCTTTTTCAGCAGGGCCAAAAGAAAAAAAAAACCCTTGAGATAAATCCTGCCTTCATCTAAGCCAGGTGGTTTCTGAGATTGAAACTATATTTTCCCCTGCATATACTGATGCTTTGTTTCTTGTCTTGTCATCGTTAGAGGACCCTAAAATGGTAGTATCTGTTACTGGGAAGACTCCACTGACTTCCCAATTCCGTATGTATGGATCAAGGGTGAATCGTGTAATCCTTCAGGTGTTATTGGACTGTAACTACCAGTTTTCCTCACCCTTGGCAGTACTAGAATTAGAGTTCAGCAACACCTGAGATTGACCATGGCAGCTGGGAAATTATAGTCCAGAGTTTTCAAATTCTCTTTTTTCCTACATGGAAATTTTGTCATCAAAGGGGGCTAAAATCCTGTTAGGAATTAAATTGGCCCTTCTATTGGTCCTTCTGCAGGGTGTTCTGGCTCATGCTCTGCAAACCATTTCTTCATTCAATGTCATTAAGTGGGACATGATGCAGATACGTTGTTACTTTCCAAAACTATGTTCTGCAACAAAGCTTGAAGTTAAAAGAAACAAGCTGTGCCCACATGCCTGGCTTCAGTATTTTGTTGGCTGTTTGTCAGCGATTAGCTTCACTACTCGGTTAGCTGTAGTTTGAGGACACATGTGTGGGAATCACATGGGCTCCTTCTTTTCTTCTCTTAGGAAAAAGCATCTAAGGAGTTGCCCACCTGTGGAGGGAAGAATCCAGGAGGGGCTTCTTAAAGTGCTCTCCTGGGGAGGGCTTGATCATTATGCTTGCTGTGTGAGAAGAAAGCTTAGTACAGTTTCTCATTAGCTGCGCATTAGGACTCCCAGAATAGTTTTCTTTTTGACATTCAGGCAAAAGGGTTTTTTTTTTTTTTCATCCTGCACAGCAGATTAAAAATTGCTTTTGAGTACAGCCACATTATGTTGATCCTTACTCTAATTGCAAGAGAACAAGGAGCCCAGGAGCCAAATTCAGCAGAACTAATTTATGGCACTGTATGGAGAGCCTGGTGCCCCATTCTTCCCTGTGAGACTTGCCAGGTTTCAGGCTGCCTGAAGCTATTGGTCGCAGGTTTCTTTGCTGATGAATTATTTTCCTTCTTCATGAGTTAGTTAAATATAGCCTCTAGGTAAAACAAGGTGAATAACTAGTTCCAGCGGTATGTAGATAGGTGTATGGTGTGAGTAAGATAGTTACGGAAATGGTTGAATATGCCAAATTCACACCTCTTTCAAAACATACCTAGTGAGCAACTCATTTCAATCCTTCCCTTTCAAAATACTTGGATGATTCCTCTGTTTTAAGCAGTTTATTTTGAGGAAGGATGTCTTATTCTGGCAGGATATTTTTTCTTTCTTTCTTTCTCATAAATTGTTCCTTACCTATCTGACAGCTGTATCTTTCATCCATCAAAACAGTTTTTAATCTTGTTCAAATTAACACTATATAGATTTTTCTCAAGTCCAAAGATTACTTCTCCAGTTTTCAGGATATAAATTATGAACCTGTCTTTAAATGTTAGCATAATTAGAACAGAAATAATTATGTAGTTATTATTCCCAACTAAATTACACCCATTGAATCACTGGGAACATGGTGTCTTAGCACTATGTAATTTTAATTGATTCAGTGATTCAGCTTACTTGGGAATAATAATATGATTTAAACTGTTGCCGTAAACTAGAAATAATACAATTATTGTGTTCCTGGAGAGAATGCTTCTAGAACATGGTCATATAGCCCGAAAAACCTACCACAACTCAGTGATTCCGGCCATGAAAGCCTTCGACAATACATTGTGGTGCCCTGTTGGTTCCTCACTCATTATCCTACAGTAATAGTATGCTGCATACAAATAGTGTAAACATATCTTAATAAAGATGTTCGTGAACCAGTTATTCATTGGCTTTAATACCAAAACTTACTCTTATTCTGTGTTTTTCTTGCAGGCTAACATTGGGCAAATGGACAGTCGTAAAGAACTCTGGAAGATGATAACTGGGAACATGGCTTTAATACAGGTAAATTCTAGGGAAGACTAGGGTGCTCTAAATCTGAATGGTAACAATGAAATGTTACCAAGGAGAGCAGAGTCCTAGCTGTCTGTTAGTCAAAGGTTCTGGGATGTATTAGTCACATGATTGCCAACACCAAAGAGTGGTGAGGAATCTATTGCTAGACTTTGCTGCAGCCATCTGAAAGAAGATTCTTCTCAGACATATATTTTGTTACATGCTTCAAAAAAGCCATCTGGGTCTTGTCAAGCACCGCCGAGTGTGGCTAGTACAAGAACCAGTGAGGTGACAACATTCACAGGCGTGCTTGATGAACCTCTACTGCAGAGGTGAGGAATATGTGGTCCTCTAGATGTTCTTGGACCACAGCTCCTACTTGCAGCTTCGTTCACTTTTAGCAGTACTGGTTAAGATTAGTGGAAGTTGCAGCCCATCAATATCTGGGGCACTGCGGCCTCCCCCCCCCCCCATTTTTGATATACCATCTGTGGCCACTGGTAAACAGTAGTAGTCTCCTTAATGGTGTCAGTAAGAATGTCAACTTTAATTAGTCCAGCTAATACCTGACTGTTTCTCCTAGGTTCAAGCAACAGTGGTTGGTTTTTTGGCCTCAATTGCTGCAGTAGTATTTGGCTGGATTCCAGATGGACACTTCAGCATGGGGCATGCGGTTCTTCTTTGTGCCAGCAGTGTGGCCACTGCCTTTATAGCCTCCCTCGTGCTGGGTAAGTCATACATATGATGAGGTGGGAGAAAGTGTCCTGCTTGCTGTCCCTTTACTGCATCACCAGATCTTCTTTTCTCCTCTCTCTAGGCATGATCATGATTGGTGTAATAATTGGCTCTCGAAAGATGGGCATCAATCCTGACAATGTGGCAACACCTATCGCTGCCAGCCTCGGTGACCTCATCACTCTTGCCCTGCTCTCTGGGATCAGCTGGGGGTTGTATATAGAATTGGGTAAGATTAAGAAGGTTGCATGTCTTTGTTTTGTATGAACAGAGTTGGGTACTTTACATTAAGCAAAGCAGGAGTCATACAAATCTCTGCAGATCCTAGCAGCTCTAATGAGCATAGTCAACGCCAAAGTCTGCAGAGAGTTATAGTGCAACATCGGGAGATCTACCTGATTTAGCTCCCTGGCCTAAAACCAGTAGTTACTTCCAACTGGAGTAGGCCTGTTGAACAATAAGAACTTCATAAGTAAAAAATGTGAAATGTTTGATTCAGTGGGTCTCCTCAAATTGGAAATAATGATTGGATTCCAGTCTTAGAATTTATTAGCTCATGCCCATAATTTAATTTTAAGATGCATTTATGTATATATTGGTCCAGTCTGGCATCTCTCTGTAAACATTTCTTACAAATCATGAACCAGTCCAGGTAGTATGCTGTGTCTTGCACCCCTCCCCAAAACCATATTACTCTTTCATTTGTCAGTGTTATCCATTGTTCCGAGATACATGATACAGATTTTTTTTCTAATTCTTGGTTGTTTTTTCTAAGTCGACTTTGTGTGGATTAACTATTGAGTTCAGTTCTGTTATGAAAATAAATTGTTAGACTCAGAATTTATTTATTTATTTAGTATATTTATATACTGCCTTTCTGACCCCAAGAATTCAATGCGAACATACATATAATAAAATAAAATCACAATAACTAAATACTGACATATAACTGTAAATTAAAATCATTAAGACCATTAAACATAGGCACAAACGGCATGTAATCACTAAGACAGACCCTTAAAAACATAATATAAATATTATAAACATTATAATATAAATATTAAAATATAAATATTATAAATATTAATATAAATATTAAAATCACATGATCCAAACATTGTCTGCCATGACTATTCCAATTGTCATAGCACATATTTCCTTATTATTCTTTACATAATAACCGAAAGCCTGGTCCCACAATGACGTCTTTATTTTCTTTCTAAAGGCCAGGGGGGAAGTCGCTGATCTAACATACTCAGAGGACTGTTTCTTTTAAATGTGTATCTTTTCTATCTAGAGCAGGGGTCCTCAAACTTTTTAAACAGAGGGCCAGGTCACAGTCCCTCAAACTGTTGGAAGGCCTGATTATAATTTGAAAAAATATGAATGAATTCCTATGCACACTAAACATATCTTATTTGTAGTGCAAAAAACACTTTAAAACAATACAGTAATTAAAATGAAGAACAATTTTAACAAATATAAACTTACTAGTATTTCAATGGGAAGTGTAGTGATGAGATAGGATTGTTGTTGTTTGCCTTCAAGTAATTTCAGACTTAGGTTGACCTTGAGTGAGGGCCGGGTAAATGACCTTGGAGGGCTGTATCCAGCCCCCGGGCCTTAGTTTGAGGACCCCTGATCTAGATCTATTGGCAGATTGGTTAGGGAATTATGTGCTTTTTGTTTAAAAACGCAAGCAACTTGGATATGCCTGAAGTTTGCGTTCTCCTTAAATAGGCTAGATCTACACTGTCATATAATCCAGTTCAATGCAGTTAATCTGCATTCTGAAACTGTTTTGTATGGCCGTGTAGATCCAGCCTTAGGGCTTCACCATCTTCTCCAATGAGCAGAACTGTACCTCCCTCTTTGGTTAAACACGTGGACCTATCTGGAACTTAATGAGCCGATCACCTTGGCAGAAGCCTGAGGTCACTTTGTATCTACAGTGGGAGCCCATCTGTGCAAATTCCAATCTCAGTCAGCAGTGTGCATTGAGAGATGACAACTGGACAGATCTCATATCCTTCCTGTGCTAATGTAGGAAGTGGTTGCGTTGGAACAAGATGTATGAATTTCCAAGATAGAACTCTGCTGATGTAACCTTTAGCTGGGATTGTTAGAGTTGTAAGCCATAGCATGAGAAGAACAAAGCTTCCCTGCCGTTGCCTTCAAATAGTATGTCCATTGTGTGTGTGTGAGAGAGTGAAAGACAACATTTAGGTTATCCTTGAGTTTTTGATCCATCTATAGTCAAAAGGGAACGTTGCTTTCCTGCTTCTCTGAGTGGACTTGGAACATGGCACGTCTTTTTTGTGATTTGCTCCTTCAGTGCAACAATCTGACTTTTCACCTCCTCTTCGTTCTTTTTGTTCAGAGGACAAACCCTATGTGAATCCCCTGGTGTGTGCCTTTTTCGTTGCACTACTCCCACTCTGGATCATCATTGCAAGGAGGAATCCAGCAGCCCGGGAGGTCCTATACTCTGGTTGGGAGCCAGTCATCATTGCCATGGCTATTAGCAGGTAGGAAGATGGGGGATGCATTTTCTTAAAGAATGATGCCTTGGCTTCAGAGAATGGAGAAGCTTTGGCCTTCCAAAAACTTTTGGTTCTACAGTTTCTACTTTTCTTTATTGTTTGGTACGGGTGATGCAGATTTTACACTCAAGTGTTTGTAGAGTCAAGGATTTCCAGTCTATTGTCTCTTACTTAGGAGGCACATAAAACCGAAGAGGGAAAACAAATGCAGTATCTCCGAGTCTATCTTTTAATTAGGCAACCTTTTCAAGGATGAAGTGTATTAAGGGGTTCGTGTAAATATGCACTTTGAAGCTCACATTTATTTAAACTTTTTGCCTGGCCAGAGCAAACCCTGAATTCATATTTCTTGGCCAAATGCTTAAAGAGCCCTTTCTTTTTGCAAAACCATTAAAAAAAAATCTAAGCATTGTGTTCCAAGTCATACATTGAACAAGTGAAATCCGTCTTCTAAAATGGGCTGTTTTTGACTCCAAATTACTATATACTACTTTCTCAAGATCACATGATATGCTTTAAAGGAAGATATTTTTTGAGGAAATATTTATATAAATGCCTGTGATGCTTTCAGAATGTATTTGGTGCTCCCAAGGCAGTACTGAAGACAACAAAAATAGTACTAGCAATGAAGTTTTTGCTAAATACAAAAGATTGCAATCATGACTCCAAACATTTTCTTCTGTTTTTCTCCTTACAGTGTTGGTGGATTGATATTGGGGAAAACTGTGTCAGATCCAAATTTTGCTGGAATGGCAGTCTTTACTCCAGTTATCAATGGTAAGTTACTCTCTACCCTTTTTTTTTCCGTGTCAGAAGTGACTTGAGAAACCGCAAGTCTCTGGTGTGAGATAATTGGCTGTCTTGTCTGCAAGGATGTTGCCCAGGGGACGTCCAGATGTTTTGATGTTTTACCATCCTTGTGAGAGGCTTTCCTCATGTCCCCACATGGGGAGCTGGAGCTGACAGAGGGAGCTCATCCATGCTCTCCTCAGATTCAAACTTCTGGCGTGTCGGTCTTCAGTCCTGCCATTGCACCACCGGGGTCTTCTTCTCTGTACCCATGACAGATCAATTTTAGATTATTTACGATTTAGGGAACCTAAATGGCTACTATGTGTGTAATTAATTCCAATAGGTTACAATAATTATGGCTCTTTGCTAAACTACAATTCTAGCAAATAGCCAAGTGTAGTTTATTTGGACCACTGGCTCTATAGACTACCAGAATAGAATTAATATGTTGGGACTATGTATGGAGTGCCTACTGGCATACCAAAAAAATCACCTGGGGGGAGGGGGGGATGAAGGCAAAGGATTTGCATAATCAGCAACTAGAAAGCATAGTGTGTCATGGGATGGGGGCCACTGTGTTTGTAATGAACCCTGACAATGTTAGAAGTCCTATTACTCATAGTTTTTAAATCAATGTATAGATACCAATTCTGCTGTAAATAGATCTTGGGGACCCCCCTTGATCCAACTTTGTCACTTGGAGGCATCTGTGATGAAGTGCTTCGCCCAATTTCAGTTAGTGTTCTACTTACAGCCATTCATCAACAGAGATATTTTAGTCACTGTGGCTCATATTTTAGTACTGTATATACTTGAGTATAAGCCTAGTTTTTTAGCCCCTTTTTTAGGCTGAGAAAGCTCCCCTCGGCTTATCCTCGAGTCAAGGTTATTTATTATTTTACACTGCTATTAGTATTATTTTTATTGAATTTACTACTTTACTCTTATTTATTATAATTATTACATTTACATTATTTTACTCTATTATTATCACCTTTATTATCTTACTTTATTATTATTGGTATTATTACATTTACATTATTTTACTCTATTATTATTACATTTATTATTTTACTCTATTTATTATTACATTTATTATTTTACTCTATTATTATATTTCCACTATTTTACTCTGTTATTATTATTATTATTATTATTATTATTATTATTATTATTACATTGCCATTATTTTACTCTCTTTATTATTATTGGAATGATACGTCAGCACATTTACATTGAAGGTTAGACTAATTGTTTAATGAGGGTCAGGCAGTCTTACCTTAAATTACAGTTTTATGTAAATATTCAAAAACATTTAACCTACTGATGCCTCCGTTAATGTCATTTTATTGGTATCTATTTTTATTTTGAAATTTACCAGTGGCTGCATTTCCTACTCCTAGCTTATACTCGAGTCAATACGTTTTCCCAGATTTTTGTGGTAAATTTAGGTGCCTCAGCTTATATTTGGGTCGGCTTATACTCAAGTATATATGGTAATTTCTCATTTGATTATCGTTATGCACTTTAATGAGTAGACTTGATACAAAGTACAGCTACCAGAATGCTTACAGAACTCTAATCTAATTGATTGCGTTAGGTGACTTCTTTGTTTCTAGAGTGAAGCCAAGGTGCTAGTGTAGACTTACAAAGGCTTAAATAGTTAGGAACCTGGGAACCTCAAGGAACACATCCCCCTTTACCAGCTTGCCTGTGCCCTTAGATCTCGAAGAAAAGTTCATCTCTCATTCTCCCACCATTTAGAGAAGCACATGCTCTCAGATATGAAATGGAGCTTCTCTGTTTTGACCCTGCAATTAAAATGTCCTTACCCCAAGAGATCTGCTTGGTGCCAACACTGCTGGCATTTCATCTTAAGCATTTTAGTTGAAAGTTAATATGCTTAGATTTCCGCTTTCAAGTTATTACTTTGCTGGTTTTATCAGATGTGTTCTATTTTATTCTGCTGAGGAGTGTTTTATTGTCCTAAGATTAATACCTGCCTTGAGAGTTTTATGAAATACCAAGTATAATTACATAAATAGGTTATGAAAGATTTAATACCAAGCTTACAAAATTGTTTTCCCTTTTATGTTGGCAGGAACAGTTAATATAGGCTATTGATTTTTTAGAAAGCTGACAGCCAGTCACCTCTTATTAGAGTCAAACCTAGAGTTTTGAGTTATTTGTCCTGAGCATGATCAATACTGTAGTTTTAATAGAAGATAAATTCTATACATATCTGGTATGAAAGACTGGCTTTGATTGTATACTTTGTGGGGATTTTTATCTCTTTTTCATGGCTTCTTGTAAGTTTTGCAATTTGTTCATAAAATTATCACGTCAGTGGGAATTTAAGTAGATGTACCACGAGCTCTGAATTGTAACTCATACACGCAGCTACATAAGTAGGCGCTAGTTCAAATATCCATGATCTCTACTATAGAAATGTACCCTCAGTCTGTTTAGGAGTCCCCTGTGGTGCAGCAGATTAAACTGCTGAACTCATGAACTTGCTGGTCACTGGTTTGAATCCGGGGAGCAGAGTCAGCTCCCGTTGTTAGCCCCGGCTTCTACCAACCTAACATTTTGAAAACATGCAAATGTGAGTAGTTCAATAGGTATCGCTTCTGCAGCAAGATAACAGTGCTCCATGCATTCATGCCGGCCACATGACCTTGGAGGTGTCTGTGGACAATGCTGGCTCTTCAGCTTAGAAATGAAGATGAGCACCACCACCCCCAGTCAGACACGACTAGACTTAACGTCAAGGAGAAACCTTTATTTTTTACCTCAGTCTATTTATTAATCCCAATCAGAGTTGAGCCTCCAAAGTAATGGAAGTTATCAAATGGCAATGGGTTAATACTAGTTGAAAGTATCAGTGTAATTTAGTTGGACAAAGTGTAGCACTCCAGATGTTGGGTATCAACTTTCTGTATTCTTCACCACTGGCTATGTAGGCTAGAGCTGGTGGGGCTTATGGTCCAGCAACATCTAGAAGGGGGCCTATTTTGTATACTCTTAATTGGGATAAAGGCCTAACATCCAATTGGATGTTTAATGTCTATATGTGTTGTCAAGCTGCATTTTTAAGGAACTGACTATACTCTAAGAAATGCATACTGTGGTGGGACAGCATTATGTAATTATGAAATGTATTTCTAGAATGTATTGATATTCAATATTATCATAATGGTCCCTCTCTCTCTTCTTGCAGGTGTGGGTGGCAACCTGGTAGCTGTCCAAGCAAGCCGCATCTCCACTTACCTCCATATGAGCGGACTGCCGGGAGAGAGCTCAGAAATAGTCGCCCGGAAATGCCCAAGCCCTTGCAGCACTTTCTTCAGTTCAGGTAGTTTTAGTGTATATAAAGTGTCTTGTGTTTGGTTGCTTTCCTTTTAAATCATAGATAGCCTCTCAAAAGACTGACATGGCAGAAAGCCCCCTTTATAAACAGGAAAGAAAGCTAACTGGTAATGTCTTGGTTGGCATGTGCTCTGGCTTGAATATGCATAGCTCTAGCTTGGTTGCAAATCAATTTAAGCACATCTCCTCTCATCTGTAACTAATCTTGGTATCTTAAATTAGAGCAATTTAATTACACAGGAGATTGTGGGCTGCATTTATATAACTATTTGGTGCTCTAACTAATATTACAAAACTCATAAGCAAGCCAGCATGTTTACCTCAGTATTTCATGGCTGTGCTTTGTATATATACATCTCTGTAGGAACAATAGATTGGCACTGTATTTATTGCTCTGCCATGTAAGAGAATTCTAAAATGTTTTAAGGCAATAGAGCGTTTTGTCACTGGGATTACAATGTGTGGTTGTTGTGTTCTGTAATCCAGTGTTTCCTAGTTCAAGTTCACTTTATTACGGTCAGTGACCAGCTCGAGAGAAGAGGGATGCAGTCCCGTAAAATCACATTAGATTTAAGAGTCAATTGTAACATTATTAGGACATGAATACAATTAGTTTAAGAATCTAAGCTAAAAGCCATCTATCTATCTCACACACAAAACCCCAACACAATTTGTGGCATTTTTTTTATAGTATCAGGAGCGAACCAAACAGTTGTATTGTATTTAAAAAAAAAACAAAGTTTGAAAACTTGACATTATATTAAATGTCTTTTGACCAGTAATTGGCCACGTGGAGTGCCTCTGCTGTTGCTATAAGAAAGTCCTCCATTGTGTATGTGGCAGGGCTCAGACTGCATTGTAATAGGTGGTCTGTGGTTTTCTCTTCTCCACACTCGCATGTCATGGACTCCATTTTGAAGCCCCATTTCTTAAGGTTAGCTCTGCATCTCATGGTGCCAGAGCTCAGTCTGTTCAGCGCTTTCCAAGTCACCCAGTTTTCTGTCTGTCCAGGAGGGAGTCTCTCTTTGGTATCAGCCATTGATTGAGGTTATGTGTTTGAGCCTCCCACTTGCTGAGGTGTTCCTGCAAGTTTCTCTGTAGATCTTAGAAAACTATTTCTTGATTTAAGTTATTAGAGTGCTGGTTGATATCCGAACAGGGGATGGGCCAGAGATGTCACTGCCTTGGTCCTTTCACTATTGGTTGCTACTTCCCAGTGGATGTCAGGTGGTGCGATACTGGCTAAACAGTGTAATTTCTCAAGTGGTGTAGGGCGCAGACACCCTGTGATAATGCAGCATGTCTCATTAAGAGCCACATCCACTGTTGTGGAATTTGTGGAATTAAAAGGAAGGGAGTCTGAAGGAAGGGGATTGTGGTGCTCATGTGGACAGATAAGGGAAGTCCAGTCAAACAAAGGAGGGAGCAACATTTATACTATAATTAAAAGACTATAATCCCAATTTTCTGCTAAATTTTAAAAAAAGATTTTAAAAAAAGAAACTACAGGCGTAATGTCTTAAAATACTGTGCAGACTTAACAGTTCTCCAGAGCACTTTATCAAACTAGATGGTTCCTAAGGCCAGATTGTTGGAAGAGAGGAAAAACACAAATATAAAATGTAGGTGACTTTTTAAAGTGTATAGTTTGTGCTAAGACACAATCTTCAAGGTGGACAGAAAAAACTTCTGAATTTCTTCAGTTCTAAGACACATTTTCCCCTTATATAACCATCTCTAAAAATGCACCTTAGAATCACAGGTGTATCTTATGTATTTTTGTTGGTGATGGTCGTACAGAAATTAGGGTGCATCTTACAATTAATAGCATCTTACAGTTGAAGGCATAGATAGTACTTAGATTTTTTTAGATGAATAGATATTGACTGTTTCATGTTATTTAAACATAAAATTCACATGATACATAAAAATCTGGGTAAAGTTGGAATAATTCTTTATTGTACTGTGGAAATGAATATGCAACTCAAGACAACATTATACTTGTTTCCATATTTCAATTACCGTATATACTTGAATATAAGTCGAGTTTTTCAGCCCTTTTTAAGGCTGAAAAAGCCCTCTCGGTTTCTACTCGAGTCAAGGTTATATTTTATTTTACTTAGTTATTTTTATTATTTGTATTAAATTTATTATTTTGCTCTATTTATTATTATTATTATTATTACATTTACATTATTTTACTCTATTGCTGTTATTTTTATTACATTTATTATTTTATTCTATTATTATTATTATTATTATTATTATTATTATTACATTTATGTATTAGGATCTTTGGACCATAATAAAGTGTTGTTATTGTTGTTGTACTCTATTATTACTGTTATTATTACATTTCAATTGTTTTACTCTATTATTATTATTATTATTATTATTTTTATTACATTTATTATTTTACTCTCTTTATTATTATTGGAAGGATATGTAATCGCTTTTACATTGAAGAAGATTAGAATAATGGTTTCATCAGAGTTGGAAAGTCTTATCTTAAATTATTTATTTATTTTATTTTATTTTATTTAACGCATTTCTATTCCACCATTTTCACCCCAAAGAGGACTCAGAGCGGAGCACAATTACAGTTTTATGTACATATTGAAAAACATTTAACCCACTGATTCCTCAATTAATGTAATTTTGGTATCTATTTTTATTTTGAAATTTACCAGTAGCTGCTGCATTACCCACCCTCGGCTTATACTTGAGTCAATATGCTTTCCCAGTTTTTTGTGGTAAAATTAGGTGCCTATATTATATTTGGGTCGGCTTATACTCAAGTATATATGATTTCCAGTTCTTTATTGTGTATAATTTGAAGTTCATAAGTCAATGTGCATATATATTTTCTAGCTAATGGGCTGAACTGAGGCTTTACTAATAAAGCCAGGGAATGTTCCCCTTCTTCATTAGCCTAATGCCTAAGTGTTATTCCTCAGCTATCTTTTTTGCCTCTTCCATCCTGCAGATGTGAATTCCCGATCTGCTCGGGTCCTCTTCCTCCTGGTAGTTCCTGGTCATTTAGTTTTCCTTTACACCATCAACTGCATGAGGGCTGGTCACACAACACTCACCTTGATCTTCATATTGTTCTACATGACTGCAGCACTTTTGCAGGTAAATATTTGTTTTGGCTCTTCAATTTGCAGCCCTATTGTTATCGTTGGAACTTGGCTAAAAATAATGAATGAGTTTTTATTAACCATGTATCCATATTAGGAGGAAAAGGCTTTTCTGAACACGAGATTTGCTATATCTCCTCTAACATAGACATTCAAGATGCAGCCCATCTACAGCCTGCTCAGTCCCTACTGCCCCACCAGATCGCCACATCCTGCAAAATAGGGGATGGTGAATTTGGCACTTATTGAGATCTTCCAAAAACGGTGGATAAACCGGTCCTCTGAGGCAGAATCCCCAGCATCTTGCTGCTGAGCCCCAACATGGGCTTCCATCCAAGTATTAATCATGGCTAATCCTGCTTAGCTTCCAAGTTCAGATGGGATTCCATGCCTTTAAAGTATTTGGACCCGATAAATACTGAATTAAGATTATAAAATACTCATCATACGTCAAAAAATATTAATGTACAGATCATTAAAACAAGAAGCTAGATGTGATATAGTAGTCTTAATTAGAACTACACTACACTGAAATTAATTAGAATAAATAAGTCTTTAAAACTTCCTAATATCCTGGGGGAGGACATTTTAAAATTGTGGCACCAGCATAGAAAGGGCATTTTCCTGATGTTCACCAATCACAGATAATCTCATTCTGTGGCCAAAGGATAGAATTTCTGATTCTAACCGTAACGCACATACAAGCACAAATAGGCCCAGATAGTCCTTCAGACATTTCATTACCAGCATCTTAAATTCAGTCTAGAAACAGGCAGAGCATAAGTGTAACATCATCTGTACACCCAGTTCCTCCAAGTATTCTTGCTCCTGCATTCCGTACCAATTTTACCTTAAAGATTGTATTCTAGTGAATGCATTACTGCAGTGAATGCATTCATACATTATATGATTATTTTGCACAAGTTGCCATTTGAATATAGTTCTATGAGCAATGAAATTGAACTCCAGAGACATGTTTCATTATTTTTGAATGTACCTTTTCTGATTGTATATTAGTTTGTGTCAAATAATTAATAAAATAATTATTTTTTTTTAAAAAAGATTGTTTTACATAAAGTATGATGCAAAAATCAAGCCTGGGTGTAACTACAGCAGATTCAGGTCAGGTTCTTTTGGATCTTTGACAAACAAGCCAAATCTATTTTTAAAGTACTGCAATTCCTGTTCCCCCATGTTAAATCCAGGGGAATTCTCAGGACTGCAAAATTACCCAGAATAATCAGTACATCTTTGTCCAAGTCAGCAGATTTCCCTATGAAGAACACCTCTATATTTTCTGGATTCAGCTTCAACACTGTCCCCAGTTACCAATTCAGGGATCCCTGCACTACTAGCTAATTAGCTACCAAGCACAATTCAGAGTGCTGGCTCTAGCCTATAAAACCCTATACGGTTCCGGTCCAGCTTACCTATTCAAACGTATCTCCCTTTATGAACCAGTTTGAGCACTAAGATCTGCCAGGGAGGTCCTGCTCTCGGTCCCTTGGCTGTGGAATTTGCTTTCTAGTGAGATTTGATCGGCCTCCTTCCTCCTGGAATTCGGGAAACAAGTCAAAACCTGGCTGCTTAAACAAATCTTTGGTGAATCAGAAAAATGTAAAATGTAGAAAAAAATCCTATCACGGCATAGTTAGAAATGAACCAGCCAAATTATGATTAAGGGATGGTGCAATGTGTTATTTGTGTGGGGGTTTATTATGCATTAATACGTTTAAGGAGTTTTAATGTGTATTTATATATTTGTTGATTTTAGTGATTTTATATTGTTTGTTTATGTATAATGAGGAATTGAATTTTTGCCTAGACATATGATGTTCACTGCTCTGAGTCGCCCGCGGGGTGAGAAGAGCCAGGATAGAATTTAAGCAAATAAATAAATAAATTCAACCAATTAATGGATCAATGCAGAAGATGCAAGGAGCAGTTTATTTACACTTCCGTTAGAACAAAATTATCATTACCTTCTTAGTATTGCATCAAGACTGATGTTTTTATAATATACTGGAAAATATATGTCATGCGTATTCATTGTGGCACGCATGGGGAGAAAAGGTCTTCTTGGACATCCCGGTTCATAAGTGGTGTTCAGGTAACTCGTAATACATCAGTTGTAATCATTGTGCTTCTGTCTTCCAGGTTCTCATCCTTCTTTACATTGCTGACTGGATGGTCCACTGGATGTGGGGCAGAGGCCTAGACCCTGACAACTTTTCTATACCATATTTGACGGCGCTGGGCGATCTGCTTGGGACTGGTCTTCTGGCACTCAGCTTCCATATCCTCTGGCTCATTGGGGACCGGGACACAGATGTGGGGGACTAAAACCCTTCCTTCCTCAGCTTCTTCACCTTCCTGTAGGTTTCCTTCAGTGACATTCCCTACCGACCCCAGCCCTATTGCCATCATTTGTCTCTCTTTGGGACTTCAACTTTGCTAATGGATTCTCATTATTTTCAATGGGAATTTTATGTAGTTTCTATTTCAAGCCAAGTTTGTACATAAAAGTATATATAGTTTTAGGAAGGATGAAAGAAAACAAATGTGTAAAGACAATCACCAAGTGCAATTTCATAATGGTTAATATGTAGGATACAATAGAGAATGATTGCATCAACAATCTTTAAAGAAATCACATGTTCCTCAATTTGCACCCCCTTTAAGGCACTACATGTAAATCTGTGTGTGTGGTTTTGTTTATGCGTGAGAGAGAATATTTGAAATGCAATTCAGGTTCCTAAGGTGTTAAACGCATCACAAGAATTCCTCATTTGTCACATTTGGGTTCTGAAATAGATTAAATGGTTTGGATACTCACTCTTCTTTGATCACAAACCAGACTTAGGAAAAAGACCATAGCTATTCGTAAAAAACAAAATCAGTCACGATGGCGGGGTGCATTTTGTACTAAGTGGTTGAATAGGAGTGCTTCTTTGGTCTTTGAAGTGAGGCAATAATAATTACAGATTAGCGCATTGGTAGGAAAGAGAGGCTCAGTGGGTGCACCCAGCCTAAGATTCACAAAGCTTCCTGGACCCCCATAAATATTCTTTAAAAATGTTCCCAAATGGCTCAAAACTTCTACACAATGCAGAGGTTTTATTCCCCAAGCCTCCCACATATCAAAATGGCCAGAAACATAAATGAAAGGGGGGGAGTCACTTCCGGTCTCATCAGACATATGCGTACAGGTCCTGGCAAAAGAGTGGACATTAAAATGCCCCCCACTCCACAGTTGCCCATATGCAGTCTAGAGCTGCTCTTCATTCCAATTCCAAATTAATTCTCAGCTGATGTCACCATGAAAACCTCACTTGAGATGACACGCTTTCACCTGATCTTTTCAAACTAGCTCTTTTTTAGTACCCATTGTAGATTTGTCATTTTATGTTACATTTCTAGTCTTCCAAAAAGTCACATGATTTGCTCCTGTGATACAGCAGTTATCTCTGCAGAAATGTGGCAGTCTATAAAACAAAGGCTGACACTTTTGCATGCCTCCAGCTACCTATTTTTCTTGTGGAAAGTCGTGTTTTTTATCACCTACTTTACACTGACCAGTGTCTCCTGCGTGCCAATTCACGTATTGCCTTTTTAAATCCATGATGCTGTATCTTATCTGCAACTGGCTTATATGGAACTGCAAACTTGAACTAATGAACTTAATGCGTACATGGTTTCCAAATCTTAAATGCCTGGAATTGATATACTGATGCTGAGCCAGGTTGCTTTAATATGAAGAATCACTATGTGGTAGCCTTTGAGATCTAGAGAAAACCAACACAAGATTGTTGAGTGCATCTATGTCTGAATACAAGTTGGATACTATTTAATGTCAACCCAGTGACCAATCATATCTCTTTTGCCCCTTCACACAGTGCAGAAAGTTTGTATCAAGGCTTCACACACACATCGGGTGTTCCAGCACTTCACTTGATTTGTAGGGTAGGTCAGCCAAATAGATATACACTAGTCAGCACGTGACACACGACATAAGAGCAAGATGTAGCTCATGTTTAATATTACTTCTCTACAACCCTAGGCTGGCTCTTCTGTGGTGTCAAAATTAATGGTTCCATTTTACAATTGGGTTGTGCATTACAGCATAGGTTTTACCTGGGAAATATGACACTTAAATTTGAGTCAAGTGTTCCTTGCTACATCTGACTATTAGGAAGCCTAGCTTGCAGACACCTTGAATTCTTTTGCTGACTCTATAATGAGTTGCTAATTTAGGGTTCAGTCTTTGTAGGGGGCAGAGTGAGGAATACATGTTGGCTTCCATGAGCAAAGATTTCCTGTTCTTAAGTGTACAGCTCTAGACAAAATCCAGCAAGTCCAGTCCTCTGACACTGTATAGGTAATGCAGAGAAGTTGAGGAAATTTAAAACTGAAACATACAAATTAGTTCCATACAATTAGGTGTGGAAAGGCTTGTGAGTAACTACTAGACTCTCCTGGATAACAGATTGCTTCCATTGATCTGGGTTTGTTGTAATACTGGTTTCAACGATATTGCTGAAGTTGCTTGCACTGATGAAAACGATATATTTAACACATCTATGAGGGGCAACAGTTGAAATGCATTTCTTCAAAGCTCTGCTAAATTGGGGGTTTGGAAGTTGTTGGGTTCATTTTTTTTCTTCCTGTGACAACTTCTCTTTGTTGATACATCATTTAGCTTTAATTCCTACATAATAACTGAAAGAGAGAGAAGGTGGTAATTAGTATGTTGTCTTGAGGTGTGAGCCCCTAGATTCAACTAAAGCTGGAGAAAGTTAATATTTTGGGTCTACAGTCCTGCAGAGCCTCCAGGCAATATGTCAATTAGCTATACTGGCTGGAGGTAGTAGCATTGCAGAAAATAAAGGAATGCATTGAAGGCACTGACTTTCTACTGTCACCAATTCTTAAACATAGCCTGAATATAACTTCACTTTACAAATATTATGTAGTTTGTCTTTCTTTATCGTAAGCTTTATCTTTTGTTGGGTTCGGGAAACCACAACTGCTTTTCCACGTAATTTGAATTGAAATTTTGAGCTGAAAATGCTTGTAGGAGGCAAAATGGTTACAATTCAAAAGGGCTTACAGTGAGAATTTGGGAAGGGAAATTGTGCTATTATGGTGCCTTGTGATCTCAGTTGGAACACTTCTTTTAATCCTGTAATCCTTCAATTGACAACATTTTAGGAGTAGTTCTGAGAACTTAGAGCAGTGGTTCTCAACCTATGGGTCCTCAGGTGTTTTGGCCTACAACTCCCAGAATCCCCAGCCAGTTTACCAGCTGTTAGGATTTCTGGGAGTTGAAGGCCAAAACATCTATGGAATCACAGGTTGAGAACCACTGCCTTAGAGACTGACATGAGCACAGCAGCCTTCATGTTCTAACATGCCACCAAAACAAAAGAAATGGGATACTTCTGCAAAGAAGTCTGACTGATAAATCCTTACCTTCTGCTTTGCAGGGTAGTCTTGGTTATTTCAAAACAATGGATTATGATGAGGATGTCATGGTTGCCTTGCTTCTTCAAGTGTGTATTCTTGCACTCCTGAAAACATTGTTCAAAATCGAGTTGTCCAAAATTATTACCTAATGTCACTTACCCAATGCTTTCATCCTTTCTCTTTCTGTTAAACTTTTTAAATAGCCTTCATCTGCCTCATGAGTGTTTTGTGTACTGCTGGAGTAATTTATACACAACTCCAATTGAATATCTTTTGTTCCTCATTGTGTATGCTTCTCGTATTAGGAACTATGCCTGTGCATCATCTCATTTTAAGCATATCTTCTCTGGTCTAAATAATACCGATTTGTCTCTAGGCCAGGAAGTTGTGCTTGTGCTATTTTGATGAGATCCCTAAATGTTGCTGTCTCTAAAGGGGGTAAAGTGTGGAAGTGTGTGTGAACTGAATGTCATCCAAAAGCTTTGAAGAATATTTTTATTCTTGCCAGTTGCACTCAAAATGCATGACCAGGATGCAAATGAAGATGAAGTTCTTGGTATACATCTTTTATTTAAAAAGAAAAACGAACTTAATTATTTATAGTTGCTGTAACGAAATTGATGCCAATTTAACTGATAAATTATATTTGGTAAAATAAAGATTACATTTATTTATATGTCTTTTGAGCCTTTATTTGTAATCTGCTAAAAGATGTTAATCTTCTTGTAGCTGAATTTTTTGGCTGATACTCCTAACCAGGTGTAAAACAAATCCTGGCTTCCTACATGTGTCCACTTCACTGACACCAAGATCATCTTCCTATCCTTCTTATTGGTGAAATGCCCACTGGTTTCAGCCTGAGGGGAAAAGGAAGAGGCCTGAGGCTGTTAGGAATCGTGGGATTTGGAGTCCAAACAGCTGGAGGGCTGAAGTTTGCCCATGCATGCTATGGTCCATCCTATCTCCACTAACCCAAGAGTAAGCCAGACTGGACCCAACTGTACTTGCTACTTAATAGGCATTTATAGACTGAAAAACTGACTTTTTAAAAAAGAAAAGGAAATTTGTCAAAACCAAGAAGACAAACAAGCTGGATGACTAAAAATTGGAGTTCTCTCACCAAGAGCTGGGAAGAAAAAAGCTACTGTAATACATTTATATTCCAGATAAAAGCAATTAGGCCTGATGTCTTTAATAAAAGCCAGATTTTAACTTAGTGCTGAAATGGTCCAAATGTTTGTGCCATTGGACCTTGAGGGGGAAGGAATTCCACAACTAAGATCCTACCACAGAGATGAATAAGAAGAGGGTTGCCAAAAGTAGAAGTGGGGATATATATTATCATTAAAGGCAGTATTATTTATTTATTCCAAACATATTCCATCCTTCTCAACTCCCCCCCCCCCCCCCCCTGGGTGGCGAGGGGGTGACTCAGGACAGCTTACAACCAGCAACCATTAGATGCTAACAAACAGTAATAATAAAATCACAATTAAACATTAGCTAAAAACAACAGATTATAAATATTCATTTAAAATATTAAACACAGCCAAATCTAAATCTGAATCCAGAGTCATAATCTAAGGTCTGTCCATTGTCAGTATCATTAATCATTGCATTATTATTGCTGCACCTGCTGCTCGAATGCTTATTATTGCTGCACCTGCTGCTCCACAGCCATGATAGGAGAGAGGGGGCCAACCTGATTTCATTGGGAAGTGAGTTCCACAGATGGGAAGCCACCACTCGGAAGGCCCTGTCTCTCGTCCCCACCAATCGCACTTGCGAGGGTGGTGGAATCAAGAGCAGGACCTCCCTTGATATTAAACTCTGAGGTGGCTTATAGAGGGAGATACATTCAGATAAAGAAGCTGGGCCGGAACCAGGGCTTTATAGGCCAAAGCCAACACTTTGAATAATAGGTAGAATAATAAGGAATAAAAACCATAGAATTATTGTTAGAATTGTTTTCTTGTCTGTTTACTTGTGTAGTTTTGTGTACATACATGTCTATGTTGGAGTGTATTTTATTTGTTTTGTAGTAGCTAGAACAGCCATGGGAAAACTTGGCCCCTCCGGGTGTTTTGGACTTCAACTCCCACAATTCCTAACAGCCTCAGGCCCTTTCCTTTACCCCTTCAGCCGCTTAAGGAGGGAAAGGAAGGGGCCTGAAGATATTAGGAATTGTGGGAGTTGAAGTCCAAAACACCTGGAAGCTCAAGTTTGCCCATGCCTGAGTTAGAATGTAGCATTATATAGTATTAAAATTGCTTTGTTGGATTGTTATTTCTTTTCTATGGTATTTTCTGTCATTTTGAATCAAAAATTCTTATATAAAAGCATTTCCTCTACCGGTGAGACACATAGGAGGGCTCCTCCAATACACTTAAGTTCTCAGGCAAATATTGAGAGAGCTGCTTTCTCAAGGATTGAGGAAGCCGTCTAGAGAAGGGAATCATGTGCTCACACTGATGCAATCACAGATCTCTGATAGAGTTTCAGTCAAGAGACTACACAAACATTGTCTTTATAAAAAGAAAGCCACAGGGTGTGTTATAGG